ACTTACAGGAAAAATTAAGAAGGCGGACGCCCAAAAGGAAACTAATTGTACAATTTTCATAAATTTTTCATTAGGATAACTTTAAATTAGTTGAACTGGGCAATCTAAAGTCAGAATTCTGGGGCAAATAGCCGAATCAGAGCTAGTTAACACATCATTCAATTGCACAAAACTTTTTTTGTGTCACACACTTTCTGAACTTCGTATGGAGCAACTCTAACACAGCTCGAGTTAGATACAGTGCATTGTCTTATTTCATTCACAAGCTGACAAATGTTTGTTCTCGTTTTGTTTATTGTTCCGACTTTCGATACGAAAGTAACGGAATATTTGTGCTCGGGGTGGGTTTTTGTTTTCTTCAGACAAATTTCGACTTTTTAACTAGCCATTTTTGATGGAATTTTTTCATATCATTCAAAGGTATTGTTGTCCTGAGCTAAATTTTGAAAAGATATTTCACCTGTGATCATTTTGCGTAAAATTATGAGGGTTTAAAGATTGCCATTTCGGCCATTTTGACCAATTTGGGACAATTAACGCGCGATATAATTCGCGCCATTAACGCGTAAGCGGAGATTTAATCCGTCTTAGAAATCGTTCCAAATTGGTTGAAAGAAGCCTATTTGCCATAATTGATTTGTTACAAGGAGCAAAATTTATTGTTTTGTACTTTATATGGCGTGTGGGGGGATGGTTTTCATCGAAAAATTTTCAGATTAAAAAAAAAATTTCATTTATTTTATTTCATTTAATTTTTTTATGTTGTTTATGTTATTACTGCTCCATAAACGGTAAAAGGCAGTTGGAATTTTCAGGGCTTTGCCCTGATACGAGCAGTCTTGTTATTCTTTTGTAATCCCGCATTTAAGAAAAGTGAAAACAAATCAATTAAAATGGATTTTCGTTGTCTTTAAAGTTATAAAAATAATCGATTCCCATGTAACGTTCAGACAACAAAAATGAACTGAAAACGGATTTAAATCCATTTTTTTCTCGCCTAAACAAAATGCATTAAAAATCATTTAGAATCCTTTATAATGGATTTTGTAATAATTAGGAAATCACATTAAAATGGATTTTTTTTCCATTTTTTTTATTTCGCGCGTCGTGCAAAATTTTGCAAGAAGTTCTGCGTTTATTAAGTGAGTTATGCAAAAACTTTGCAAAGCGATTGTACGGCCTAACCCATTTCTAAACCTAAACTCAATTTGGAATAAGATTCCGTTAAGTTCTCCCCCCTAACGTTTGCCCTCCAATCCCCCTAACGTTTGCCCCTTTGCTCCCTCCCCCCCACCTAAACACCCACCCAACTGAACAA